TTTTTTTTTTTTTTTTTTTTTTTTTGATTAGTACACCTAATTCTACTCCCAATTCCCTAGCTTTTCATTTGTATGTCAGGCCCTTGAAAAGGAGGAAGTTTTCTCTCTCATTTGAAGCAAACCTGGACTGGAATGAATACAAATATAAATTGTTTTTACTGCAGTCCTGTTTAAAAAAAAACAACTAACAACAAACCCACACATGAGAAATGAAGCAGGCTTTTCATCTCTCTGCTGCAAACAGTGAAGCGAACATTCTGAAGTCTCACAAAAAACAACCAGCATAATTTAAACCTGAGCCTAAATGAATCCTCAAAATTGAAGGTAAATCTTAGTGGATATTTCTTTCCTGTTTCTAGCTGTAAGTGATTTTTCCAGTAAAGAGATTAGAGGAAACCTGAAGTTTTAAGCAGACCAGGAGTAGCAAGAAGAGTTTTCCATCACAGATTGACTCCTGTTTCAACTATGCAAGAAAATAAAAATATAAATAGAAGTAAATATTTCAAACAAGTTTTATTTGGTACTTACATGCTAAATATAGGATTAAAGAAAGACTACATGTTTTGGACACTTCAAAATACTGTGGCTATGTACATGGAAAACTAAAGAAAGCACAAAAGGAACTCAATTCATTTTACTGAGTCACAAGCCACTATTGAAAGCATTCTGACTGAATGGCTGTTTTTTCCCTTCCATATATATTCTGGCAGATGAAGTACCTTTCTCATTGCATTTCCATTGCTTTTACCGCATCTCCTGTTTAAGATGAACAGTTGGCAGCAGCAGAAAGCAATTTCTTCAAAATTCTAAAGCTTTTCCCAGAAGATTTCTTCAGCTAGCACAGGCTTCCTGCACAGCTTCCTAGAGGCCTAGCTCAGTGCTCACTAAAGGCAAGTGCAGGAATCTTAACCGTACATTCTCTGGTGACATGAACTGAAACTGTATACCTCCCTTTCCACTAGCCAAGGATCTACTTGCCGACTTCAGTGAGCAACGCATCAGGCACTGGTTGGTGCCTCAAGTACTCAAGAGTGAGCTCTCCCTATAACAGCATTGTTTATCAAAGCAAAAAAGATGCAAGATTTTACAGTTCTGCCCAATAGCAACCAAAGTGAGGGATGGAATAATGACAGCAGAAATCGGCATCAAACTAAAGAGAGGGCAACCTGCATTGCTCCTCTTATCACTCAAACTGCACTGCTTTACAAAAATCACACACTACATAAAAAGCACAAACAACGACCATTTTCCATTTGCTCTGAAACGAGCAAACCCAAAAAAAATCCCCAAACCTGCTTCATCATCCAAAAATCAAATATTTCAGGTTTCACACAGTCTTCAATAGTCTGATAAGGCAAAGTCTTCCATCATTGGGAACAGCAGCAGTTTACAGGACTCGGAACAAGGTGTTTCCTTGTGAGTGTGTGCGCGCATGCGTGCATGTATGCGTACACATCTTTTACAGTATTGTGAACATGGATGTAACTAAAAAAATCAAGTTTGCAGTATTGTTTTACCACATTTTTCTAATTTATTCAATTAAACAATTTATTTCTGTACTGAACAAAATTCATAAATACATTATCTAGGAGAACAATAGGTTTTCCTCTTGTCCATGAAAAAATAACGCTTTCAAATTTTCACATTTTAAAACCTGCCATGTTTTGTGTTTTTAGAGAAAATGCGAGAAGATCATAGTGACGTCTCAATTTACAGAATGTCCCTGTAGGAATTACATTTACAAGAACCTGATACAGAAGCCTATACTTTGCCCCCATAATTAGAGTTCTCTGCAATAATATTTAAACCAACAGGTTTAAATAAAACACCCCATTAACTCTACTTGTAGAGCAATGAGGTATTTATTTTTCAAGTATTAGAACCACAAAGTGTAAAAGATTCTTTGCCAATTTTACAATTATGCCCTTTAAACCAACACCCATCTTTTTTAAAAAAGAATCACTCCCACCACCCAAATCAGCCCATTGCTTTCAGATTCCAGTGTCTTCTGTCTTAAGGAATGCACAAATATCCATTTACTAACAGAAAAAGCTTGTTGGAAAAAGCCATATTAAGTAATGCACGTGAAGCATGATTTTTCTAGTGATGAAAGCTATTAGAAAGGTGACCCAAGTCTATTCCCATCATTTCTTCTGCTGGTTTTACTAAAGTCCTTTCAAAAAAGATATTCAAGAAATCTTTAGAAAACTGGAGAGAAAAAATAAAACACTCCTTCATAGCATGGAAGAAACTCCACTGACTGCAGAGATGCTCATACCACCTTTGGTTCTTCAGGAGAAACAATCAGATCACTTCTACAACAGAAGTTATCAAAAATGACAGATTAGCAAAGAGTGACAATGCTTACCTCAAAATGCTATACATTTATGCAATTATTTTATTGTAAGATGATTTTCCTTACATTTCCTAGCCACAGGAAAAGAAAACGGTAATCCAAATTAATTTGCTAAATTAGTACCTGTTTACCTAACATCCTTTAAAAGTTGGGATATAATTCAGAAAAAATCCAGTGTGCTGCAAAGCATCTCTCAGTATTAATGGCAGCAAGAACTTCATGAGGGAAGTACATCCAGAATTTTACATAGCAGGTAGGTACTGGCTGCCCTTCTGCCTGTGCATATCTGTTACTGCTCTTGCAGAACTGGAAGATGATTGCTGATCGTAAGCGAGGAACAGCAGCTCTCACTTAGCATTTCTGTTTGAAAGCACAGGGCAAACATTTTCAAGCAAGTTCAAATGGCAGGCAGTGCAGTGTAAATGAGAAACTCCCCTCAAATAAAAGAAAAGGCCTCACCATAATTTGCACAGCATCTGTATGTACTTGGCATGCACAGCTTTACAAAGAGGAGATATGCTCATTTCCCAAAAAAATACAGGGTTTAAAAATGCTTAACCAATTTATGTCAATTAAGAGCTCTAGGTCCTCTGACAATTACAACACATTACAAGTGTTAATGAACCAAGGCAAACCTACCTGCTGTTTGATGTGTTTGAACACTATCTACCTGAGGCAAGAGAGTCCCCTTATCTTCAAAGGCTAGAATTGGATTCAAAGGAATTTCAGGAGTATTGCTTCCGTCATTGTTCATGGCATCCAGCCGGGATGGTTTCGAACCAATAGGCAGGTTTATGATCTCTTCAAAGTTATCATTCTGCATAGACATTCCATTCTCGTTTGCATTTTGCTCTGGATTGAGATTGCTGAAAGAGAAACACAGGTATTTATTTCCTCATACACTTAATCTAGAACAGAAATTTAGTCCTCCTCAAAGCAGTATTACAAATAAAAAAGCCTGCATTAATCCCGAGCATTGTTTTAGACAGTAAAAACAAAACTACTTCTACCACAGTAGAAAAACTGTTTTTGCAGCCAAGTATTAGATACGCCTTCCCTCAAACACACAGGATTGTTACATTTGGCTGCACCATCCCCAGACAAAGTACTTTACAGACACTGCAGTTCTGAGAAGTGACTGCAATGGGAAGCAGTAAGAGCCCTGCAGCACCACCACTATCTTGAGTCACTGACCTAATGCCATTTACAGCCTCTAACATATTTTTCAGCTCTCATAACCTTTGCCATATCCCTCCTCTTATTTCAAATCAATGTAATTGCTTTTGGATAAGATCACTCTGATTTTTGTTATTCCTTGGATCACCTCCTGCCTCCAGTTTTGGAGCAGCCTCTTCCACCTGCCACTTATCCTGAGAAAAAACTCCCCTAGCAGTGCAATTCTTTCAGTCCCTCCTCCCCTACAAGTTCTTAGGGCTTTTTCCCAAGGCACTACCCAACTCTGCGCTCATCCTGTTGATCATGCCCAAGACAAAAGAAACACCACCCAGCATCCCTCACGTCAATCTGCACTTTCTTTTCCATCTCCCACTTGACAGAGATGCCTTATGAGCAAGCTCTTGTACATCTCCCCCACTTAGGAGCAGTACAAGCACAGACACACTCTCCAATTACACATACACTCCTGAGAAGACACATGATCATGTCTCACAGTCTTGCCTCTCCCCTCTCAACCCTTTTATGAGGCGCTGTACTGTCAAATCCCGCTGTCTTTGCAGACAGCATGTGCACTATCTTGCCAGAGGGGAGAAACTAAGGTGCTACTTCAGTGAACAGGATGACAGTAATGGGACCATGAGCTCCTTGAGAAAGAGCATGTTCTCAACTGACACTCAAAAAACCATGTGATCTTTCATATATGCTTCTTAAGGCCCTCAACAGTTAGATACTGACAACCCTGGGTATCTATTCCCTATTCGGACCACATCACGACTGTTCAGGTTGTCTGGAAATGCTTCAGCCACAAAGGCTCAGATGCAATTTTCCTAGATTGAAACTAGGCTATCAATTTCCTCAGGCTGTTTCTGAGCAGGTGGCTTGGTTTCACAGGCTTATTTTCTCCTGACAGTACATTTACTAGTCTTAAAAAAACCTGCTTGCAATTAGCATATGGTTTATTTTCATTTGCTGGCTTCTTTGGGTGTCCAACTCTTCACAATTACAGAATTGTTTTACAGTACTTCCCAAGAGTCAGAAAATAATTACAGCTCTTTTGAAAGTGGCAACGCTTCATCCAAAGCCCAGGTTTCCTGTGAGAAAAACATGCTGCTTTTCATATGAAGCTTTTCCCAGTTTCTCGAGCCATCACCAGTTCTTTTTAAGAAAGGCATTCCCCTTTTTTCATCTGTGGATAAGCTGAGCAAATTTCAAAGTGAAAAATATATTTCACTGCACTGTGTTTGAGAGCAAAACCAAAAACTCTGATGGCTGCTTGGGAGAGGTCACAAGTCACATCACACTTTTGTGTCAAGAGATCCACATCTGTAAGATGAGGAGCAGAATCTGTGAAATGCTTTAGGACTAATAAAACCTGCTTTATAATGCATAGTTATTAGGTTATTATTCA